TTTATTTATTCCTTGTGTCTTTCACACCATGCCTCCAGATTCCACCCTTCCCCCCTCCAATAAAACAAAATAAAATTTAAGAGGAAAAAAAGAAGGGGGGGGGGGATCTCGTCATGGAAGCCACACCACGACACAGCGCGTCACATGGTGAAACCCTTTATCCACGCATTTTTACATGCAGGCCTTTAACCATTTCATGTGCTTCGGAGATTAAGCCAGGCAGAAATTTTCCAATATAGATAACAGATGAAGCCACGTCTAGATAAGGCCTGGATGTTAATCATTTTACAGGGCTCCTCTGTGTTCTTCTGGAACATAACAAGAGGAAACGGAGCTCGGGCTCAACTTGGCTACCACACTGTGTGAGACAGAGCGAGACCATAGAGGTCAGCTTGCGCCCCGTGACTGTGACAGACAAGCCACTTCTCAGCTGTCTCCTCTCTGCTCTACTGCATGGCTGGCCAAATCTGGTTCTCTGTGCCGGAACCAGGAACTCAAGTCATTTAAAAGGCTGTCCTAGGGGCTGGGACGGTGGTTCAGCAGTGAAGGACTTTGGCTGCTCTTTCACAGGACCTGTGATTGGCTCCCAACACCCATTGGGTGGCTGACAACCACCTGTCACTCCTGTTCCGGGGGGGGGGTGTGCCTGTTCCGGGGGAGGGGGGTGTGCGCCCTCTGCTAGACTCTGTGGGTACCCTCTGTTAGCCTTTGTGGGTTCCTACATACACATGGTGCATACAAACTCATGTAGACACATACATAAATAAAAATAAATCTTCAAAGGAAGCTCTTCAGACATAGCAGCCTGTCTGGTTCACTCTCCTTAAATACATGTTTCTTTGTTCATGCGTGTGGGTGTTTTTCCTAGATGTGTATCGTGCACCGTGTACATGCCTGCTGCCTGCGGAAGCCGAAGAAGGCAATTGCGTCCTCTAGGATTGGAGTTCCAGATGACTGGGTGCCCTCCCGGGTTAGGAAAATTAAACCTGGGTGCTGTGGAAGAGCAGACAGTGCTCCTGACTGCTGAGCTTCCACGAAAACAGAGAGACAGATACAGTTATTTGTTTACTTTATATGGTGGACAGGGCGCATGCTTGTGACAGCGTGGTGGTCAAGTGGGCAGCGGCAAGGATTCGTTGTCTCCATCCCTGTGGGTTCTGGGATGGAACTCACGGCAAGAAGACTCATTAATACCAAAAATAATGTTGACCACATTCACGGCTGAGTTTTCCTGTGATTCACTCTAGCTCTTGCCCACACAGGAGCGGAACATCCCAAATGTGATCTTGATGTTTGTCAGATGTTCGGGATCACAGCCCCGAGTGTCTAAATGCTTCTCGTGTAGGAGCAGAGGGGACAGAAAAAGCTGTAATCTCAGCAGCCTTCCTACTATCCCTCACAGCTGCTGGCACTCAGACCCACCCTTTAAGACGAACTGCAGACTCGCCAGGAGTGGAGAATCTTTAGATAGTGTTGCAAGTTGCCTGCTGAAAACGGTAACTGACCTTGCAGAAGGATGGGCTGCAAGAGAACACCACTACCACATGGGGGCAGAACCGAGTTCTTATAGTTCTGGCCAGCTCCACTGGCCATATCTTAACCCCCAAGAAAAGCCCGAAGAGCCCTTGCTAGGAGCTAGAAAGGAGAAAATCTGCTGGATGGCTGTTAGCATATTAGCCTGGGAAGGAAGCGGGGAGGGTGATCGGCAGCTCCAATAAGGAAACGGAGATAGATGTTCATGGACATTATCCATGACCATAAAGGGGAAGCAGGGGTGAATATGGACTCAGCACAGCACCTTTGCCCCCTCTTCCTGCTGCACTAGCGTTCACGGTATTTAGGGGACGAGGAGAGTTGGCAAAGGACTGAAGAGACAGACTTCACTTATATTTTTTTTAAGAAGCTGCTCTCGGCTCAGTAGGTAGAAGTGCTTGCCACAAAAGCCTGGGGACCAGGGTTTGAGTCCTGCAGCCCACAGCGGAAGGAGAAAAGTCAACTCCTGGGAGTTATACTCTAATTTCTCAACACACGCTGCCAGATAAGTTCACCACCACCACCCCCCCGTGTGTGTGTGTGTGTGTGTGTGTGTGTGTGTGTGTGTGTGTATGTATGTGTCTCATTCTCTCTCACAGGCACACACTCCATCTCTCTCATAGACACTCTCTCACACTCACATACATACACAAATGATTTTTTTTTTTAAAGAAGACTCTCCAGGCTCTCATGTGACCCTGGTTAAGAAGAAAAAAGCAAATGATGACGGTTCAATGTCCAGATAGCCAGTGATGAGAATTATCACCCAGCCTCAGCCTCCCCACAACCTGAGACTTTGATACCTATCAAGTCACACCCCCAGTAAAGGGTATGTTTCTTTTCCCTGCAGTGATGGGACTCAAACCTGAGGCTTTGTCCTGTAATCAGAATTCCACTACAATTATTTCCTGTCTTGACTACATCCCAAGCATAGTCTCCTTTAAGGTCAGAGACTATAAGCCACTTGGACAAGCCAGTACAGGCAGCAGAATCAAAGATGCCCAAAGAAACCCATTCAGTGATCTTATGTGGATCGGTTTCGTAGGGATAAGCCACTGCCTTCTGGGGACGGCACATTTCAAAGGCAAGGATGCTGTGCAGTCGGGACACCGGCACTCACTCTGCCTGGACTGGAGCTATGCCCTCCAGCCTAGAAAGAGAGGGCCTGGGGCAGCTAAGCTGCAGAATCCCCTGCTGGGCCGGGAGGCAATCCGATCTGTGCTGAGCTTCCATGGGCACAGAGGAGACTAAAATGAATCATGGGAAATGTAAACCCTGGCCGGGCCCCAGGAAGAATTCCCGTTGGATTCAGAGCATGCCTAGCTCCCGTATGGCACACCCAGCAGTGAATACCAGATGCAGGAAGTTTGTGATGGCGACTCCATCCAGCCCTGGGCACAGCATGGTGTTTGTGACCCTGAAGGTGCTGTGTGGCTTTTGCCATCTACTCTCTGGTCCACAGTGCTGCTTTGTAACAGGCAGCTGCTTTCTATAGGGCTACATGGTGGACCTTTGGATTCCAGCTCAGACCAGAGCTTAAAGAGGTTTCCAAGAAAATGTTTAGGCCTCTAGCCCCTACTTCTGCAACTAATTGCTCCTTCCACTGAGCTTCTCCCTGCCGAGTGCACACTTCTCTGTCCATCTCACACATCTGGCTTCCAGAACAGCTGTGAGACCGTACACCTGACCTCACTTGTAATCCCTGTCTCCGGCTCTCAGTTCACCTCCTGCATCTCTAAAAATCATTTAGAATTTAGAACAATAGAAGGATTTCTAAATGCACAGCAAAGAACGTTTGTTTTCCTCCCGGATGGAACTCTTCTGCTGTCCCTTCAACCACCTCACGAACCAATGTCTTTGTTGTTCTTTGTCTGTTTCGGTTTTTAGAGACACGATCTCATACTGTATTCCGAGCTGGCTTCAAACTCACAGCAATTCTCTTACTTCAACCTCTCAACTATTAGGATTACAGGTATGAACCAAAACAACCCAATCCACAAATGCTCTTTTTTTTTGCTCTTGAGTTTCTTATGCAAACTGTCCTTTTCTACCTCCAACTAAAGGGAAAAATAGTACATTAGTATATATGCAATATACATCTTTTTATCTCTTTATAGCAACATATATGTTTAGTAGGAACACTGATCTTTTTATGGAGGCTTCATCCCCTTATGTAGCAACAGACAACGATGCTATTATTAAACAAGACAAGAAGTGAACAGGCCCTCGGAGTGGGATATCCTTATCACTGAGACTCCCTGGCTCCTCATGTTTAGTGCTTTCTGGTTCTCAGGGGACGCGTGCTGAGACACACCCTTCATTGCCAAACCCTTCCAGGGTTCTCATTACTACAGACAATAGCTTACTTGGTGTCAAATACACACCCAATTTTGTATATATACATTTGAAAACACATTTTCTCCTATTAGTCACACATCATATCAGATCTGAGAAAAGCACCTTCAAAGTGTGTCTATTTTTATATTCTGTAATTACGCGACGATAAATGATATGTGCCCTTTGGTTGAGGATGTACTTTCTCATTGTGATGAGGGGCTACGGCAAATGGGCATGAGTTTTATATAGTCTACTTAGATGAGTAACTATGACTCTGAATCAAGATGGGACATTATCGTGGCTTAAGTTCACCCACATCCTCTGGGTGAGGAACCAGTACCATCTAACCAAGTTGATGGTACAGCGTTTTGTCCAGTGCTTAGGGGCGGAGGCTGTCACCAGCCACTCTACTCCAGAAACCTTGTCCTGATGACGGTACTCATGATGCCAATCACTAAATAAGTTCGCTGAGGTTTTAGAATCTAAAAGGGATCGTGTACACTAACACAGCAAGGAGCTTTGAACGCAGATCCATCTTTAAGTATTTTTAGTCCACATGCTGAGAACCTCCCAGGAAATCTTTCAGATTTATGCCTTGGCAGGAAACAGTGTCCTGGGGCCACAGGGAGAACTCAGGCTGGTGTGTCTGGGTAAAGATTCAGAGGGTTCATGGAAAACAGCAATGTGGTTCTCAAGCTTCTGCTACAAGTCACCAGATGCAATAAAAGTAACTAATAATAATAATAAAGGGATAAAATACTAGAGCCATATTGTCTCATATGTATAGTTAATCTAAAAAGAAAAGAACTCAGAAGAACCTGAGCCTTTGAAAGATACATCCTTTTCTATTTTAAAACCACCTCTGGAGGACTCTGCCTAACAGCACAGCAGACAGTTTATTCCAGAGTTCCCTTCTCTTTGTTTAAACACACGGGTGTGGAAAAAAAAAAAAAAACAACCCAGCTTTGTTTGGCTCAACACAAGAGGGCAGCCAGAGCAGCTGAAGAACCCGCACCAGCCCCAGGAGCTGTGGAGCCTCCCTTCCGGGATAGAGCCTGGTACAGAAGGTCAGGACCGGGGCGGTGCCGCTGGAGCCGCAAAGATAGTTCTCACGTCAGCCATCAGCTCACCTTGCAGAACTTCCATAGGGAGAACGGTCCAGGCGTTTTCCAGATAGGAAATATAAATATAGCGAGCCGTGTTGCAGGCCAGGCCAATGTACAAAACCCTGGAAGAGAAGAAAACACAACACGCGGGAACGTAAGTTGAGGCCCTGGTGGGAAACATGATCCTGAATATTACTTATGTTTCCACTCCCCAATCCATTCATGATTAAATGGGCATGTCCCAAACTTAGGCATGGGAAGGCTCATGGGCAAACTTAACCACCAGTGTAGGAAGGAGACTGCCCCGACCACATCTGCCCGCTGCCGTCCCCATATGCTTAAGGAAAAAGCCAGCGCTGGCCTTCCTGAAGCTTCGTTAGCGGGAGCACGGATGCTGTTTCAGAGTCTGGCGCCCAGCCAGCTGCAATGCCGGTGCTGGCTTCTCTCCAGGTGACTGTCGCATAAATACGCCTGGCACTGCAGCCGCTTCACGATGCTGGGTGGGGAGGTTGAGGTGGATGGGGGAAGTGTAAGACCTCAGCCTCATTTACAGACGCAGGTCCCCGGAGAGGTTCATGAGATTCACATCACCGGGGGCCAACCGCGAATGATGAACAACAAATCCGATGCTTTCCCAGTAGTTCAACTGATTCAGGCTCATCATGTTAGAGATTACATGCGATGTCATACTCTCACAAAACAGGGAAGTATACAGCAACCTTTAATATCACTGCCACCAAAGATGTAAGTATAAACCAAAATGAGTATAGAGCAGAGCGGTGAGACAAGCTTGGGTCCGGATGGTGGCTGCTTCTCAGCACATACAGGTGACAAGAAGCACTTCCTCTCCTTCCTCCTCTCATTTCTGATCATTTCCCTACCTTCAAGGCTTTTAATTTCTTTCCTTTGTTTATTTATTTATTTTTGTGTGGGGGGCGGAGAGAGGGAAGGGGTAAGGAGTGAGGGGGCGTATCCAAGGACCCTCAGAAGCCAGAAGAGGGTCCTGGACCTGGAGCTACAGGCTACTGTAAGCTGTTCAACGTGATTGCTAGGAACCAAACTCGAGTCCTCTAGTCAGGAAGCGATCTTAACCCCTGAGCATCTCTCCAGCCCCACTTTTCACGTTTTCTTAATCCAAGTGGAGGAACACCAAAAGGCGGAAGAAAACCCACGCGACAACCGGAACGGCTGTCCTCATCCTGCTCAGCTGTGTGTTTACGTTTTTCTAAACACGGTTCTCTGTTCTTTAACTTTGCTCTTGAGTCCCTGGCTGGAAGTGATCCTAAATCTGAACCAAAAGGATGGAGAAAAGACAAAGAAAAGGTGCAAAGGTAAAAAGATAGGAGGGGAAGGGACACACTACCGGGAGGAACTTAGAGGGTCCTCAAGGAAGGTCTCTTGACATAGAGGCCTGAGTCATCCAGTTCTATGGACAGTATAGGCTTCATACTTATGGGACTTGGTGAATAAAAGCACATATTTCAAACGTGCTTGCTAAAAAATTATTTTTACTGAACTTGCTACCAATCTACCAGCTTCTCTCTGGTTACAAAAGAAGACACAAAAAATTAGCTGCAAACCGCACTGCAGAAGCACAAAGCACATCACACAAGGCCTTTTGACTTCACGTTGAAGTTTGAAAGCGGCCCCAAGCATGGCCTCCACTGACCTAAGTGAGTCTAGGAGCAGCATTAGGGACCATGAAGTAGGTAGTTTAGGCTTTCTGAGCCACAGTCCACTGCCATTCATCTCCACTGTGGTGGCGTGGTAGCGGGCCCCAGAAGACACACGGGCGTTTCAGCGAGACTAGAATTCAATTTCACGGAATGTTATTCTTCCTGTTCATGTTTCAGCCATTTTCAGAAACGTAGAAATTATCCTTAGTTCACGGGATATACAAGAAGATGGGACGTAGGTTCAATTTGGCCCTCAGGCCACAGGCCTGGCCACTGACCTAGCTTAGCAATCGCTAACCTTGGCTATATCAAATTTGCTCTGATAATGCCGAAACACAGATGTCAAGATCCTTCTCAAGAAAGAGCACCCTGGCTACAACCCAGGTGTGGTGCTTTCGAAACCTCCAAGGCTGGTTCTGATGCCGAGTAGGGGCGGGAGGCGGGGAGAACCACAGACACGCTCATTAAGCCGTCCCCAGCAATATCTCCCATAAGCGTATCATAAACCAATTGATAAGCCACCTTCCTAACACCCATACTGCCTATCTTCATTCATGTTTTGGAGCCGTGAAAGTTTAATCTATCCAGGACACAGTCCAAAACTCTTGGCCTATGTCATGCAGCCCAGATCGAAGGGTATGTTATGCTGTAGCCTCCAGGTTCTGGCACAACACTATGTCCTCCAGCCCATATGCATATCAAAGGGACAACTGGTCTACCATCTCACAATGCCTAGGTCCTGATGTTGTCGCTCAGCTGTCTCATGCTAGCGCCATTCCCTTTTGCACATGGTCACAGCACCACGTGACTCTCTGCACAACACTTAGCTTAGTGGTAACCATCCATTATAGGCCAACCATAATGTCCATGGAAGACAAAGCCTCTGACATTATGATCACTCGATTTGATCCTTACTGCCTGATCTAATGGGTATTCAGTAAAACATTTATAAACTAGTAGGAATTCAAACACTAATTAATAAATATTTAATAAACACATTTTGAGCTTCATACTAGGAATCCAATGTCCAATGTGACAGAAAAATTCATAGTGCACACATTGTGTTTGTAAGTGTGTACCTATTTTTAGATAGCTGGTTATGGTATAGGAATAAGTGAAGAGTTTGCGAACTTCTTAGAAAGAGGAAGGGTGAAAAAGATGTCCATATTTGGTGATGTTTTTGACAATGTTCATGACTACGCTTGAAGATAAACATTGTCATTTCTGTGAACAATAGACAGTACAGTGCATATGCAGAGAGGCAAGGAGTGGCTTTGGGGGACATTCTGAAGCACGGTGCAATAAAAGCAAACATATGTGCCAGAGCAGATAATGAGGCTTTGCTCAACACTGGCCTGTCTCCCTAGAAGACAGGATGGTCAGCATGTAAGCTATAGAGCTCAACAAGCCCACGGCGTGCCCACTGCACAACTGCAGGGATAACCCAGGATGTCTGGAGGCCACCAAGCAGGTATCCTGGGCTACTGGCCCATCCATGGAGGACAGGGCATAAGAACCACACTGCATCGGAAGGGAGGGGGAAGGCAGAGCGATGGTCATTTTAGTTATGTGTGTTAGGCAACAGTAAGTCTGAGGTCTCTGCTGGACCACATGAAGCCATGCCGTGGGACGGTCGGATCCTCCTCTTAGATGAGTAAGAAGCAATGCGACAATACCAGCCACAGCTGCGAGATCACTGCAGTGCCAGTCCCTGGCCGCATTTGCAACTATTTATTGTCTATATCTCTCCAAGAAGAAAATAAAGAGTGTGAAAAATTGAATAGGACTGTCATTGATGGAATCCATCACTTCTGTTTTCTTGTTATATTTTCCAATAAGGCAAAATCCACGTGAATACACACACACACACACACACACACACACACACACACACACATATCTCATAAGTTTTTCCTGATAGGGTTGGGGTACCCACATGGTATAATCTATAATTATAATTATGCCACATGGTATAAGCCATAATCTCCAGAGCATAACTGGTATTGGACATCAATTCCTTAATTTGGAAAAGGCATCAAACGTTTAGTTGACGTCAGGCGACATTTAAAGAAATTAAAACAAGTTCATTATAATTCAAGCTGAAGAAAAATCGTGAACAAATCCAAAGTGATCTCAATGTCGTTCCTCCTACTTGAGGGCTTTGGCCAGATTTGACCAGAATGGGAACTATTAAAGGCACATTTGAAGAGACCACTTACAAAACGAATAGTCAACAACAGAAAAAAAAAAAGAGCCAGAAAATGAAGGGAAGGGAGAGCCCCAGAAAAAATGGCCTGGAAGAATTAGCTGAGCGAATTGGAGAAGCAGAGCAAAGAGGACACTCAGGCAGGTGGGTTCCCTTCTCTGGAAGAGAGGTGTAAGGCAGATGAGCGTGCAGTCAGTATAGTATTGTCAAGAGGTCTTCCTTGGCTTCCAGCTGGACTTGACCCTGGAGCTGCCTGGGACACCCAGCATCTGTTTAGGTCAGTTCATGCCCAAAGAACAGGAAGACGGGTTCTGATACCATCATTTGAGAGCTGCTTAAAAACCACACCTGAGCCGGGCGATGGTGGCGCACGCCTTTAATCCCAGCACTCAGGAGGCAGAGCCAGGCGGATCTCTGTGAGTTCGAGACCAGCCTGGTCTACAGGCTAGTTCCAGGATAGGCTCCAAAGCCACAGAGAAACCCTGTCTCGAAAAAAAAAAAAAAAAAAACAAAACACACACACACACACACACACCTGAGGCCCCTGGCTGGGCTTTTCAGTTATAAGATACCTCCCTTACCTCGTGTAAGTCTCTCCCGAGTAAGGCTTTCTGCCCCTCCACTTGAGAGTACCATGTGACACAAAGTCTTAGCGGCCTTGCGAGCCAGCAAGCTCTCCCTCACGACAGACAGCTAAGCCGAGGCTAGGTAATGATCTATTAGTGACTGGCGACCCTGGTGAAATGGAGCCAGACCTGCAGGACTGCTCCAGGACTGCTCCTGGCTCACACCTCAGAGCACTTGAATAGATTACACAATAGACGGTTATTATCTTAGAATTCTTAGGGCTTGGAGTTTAAGAAGAGAGGGTCAGCAGTGTTGGTTTCTTCAAACACCTTCCACCTTGACTTGTTGGTGGCTGTCTTGTCCTGTGTCACTGTGAAGCATGTCTTCTTTTTGTGCTCGTCTGAGACCTGATCATGTCTTGTAAGGACATCAGTAGCGATGGATTAGAACCCACTGGAATGGCCTCATGTTAGCTCACCACCCACTATAAAACCGCTCACTCCATATACAGTTCCTGAGGTCCTACAGGTTAGCGTCTCCGTGTAGGAATTTTCATAGCCCAGAAAAGAAATGCCTCCTCCTATGCCGGACATTGGCAACTGAAACATCAAGGGACTCCGGCCAGCTTGAGTGTGGCCAACATGGCTTTGGCAGGCCTTGCTCTTCCCCCATT